AGTGCGTGAGTGCGTGCGTGCGTGAGTGTGTGCGTGCGTGTGGACTCTCTATGATACAACACGTACCGTGTAGTGGTATAGAGGATGGCCCGGCCCCGGTCTGATCGGTGTGTGTGTGTGTGTGTGTGTGCGTGCGTGCGTGAGTGAGTGTGTGAGTGCATGCGTGAGTGTGGACTCTCTATGATACAACACGTACCGTGTAGTGGTATAGAGGATGGCCCGGCCCCGGTCTGATCGGTGTGTGTGTGCGTGCGTGAGTGCGTGCGTGAGTGTGGACTCTCTATGATACAACACGTACCGTGTAGTGGTATAGAGGATGGCCCGGCCCCGGTCTGATCGGTGTGTGTGCGTGCGTGTGTGCGTGTGTGAGTGTGGACTCTCTATGATACAGCACGTACCGTGTAGTGGTATAGAGGATGGCCCGGCCCCGGTCTCGGAGGCAGATTGCTCGCCGATGTCGTCTGCGTGCCCCAATCCAAGGCCGTGTTCTGCTTACTGCGGCCCGCCGTGTGTGGCTGCACTCCATGCGGGGGATTAAAGGAGGAGGATGAGGAGGAAGCAGTGCCTGCACTGCGCGTTGACCCCCTGCGGTTGAAGCTCTGTGAGCTGAGGTACGTGCTCGGTGGACGAGGTGGCGGCGCATTCCTGCAACAAGCAAAGACGATGAATCACACGACAAACGCTCGTCATCGTTAAACGACGAATCATTAAACGTAGTCGACGAGTTTCCTAAGCTTGGGGTGGACACAGACTGACTGTCCGTCCCTCGCATGTCATCTGCAGGATGCTGCAGCAGCAGTTGAATCAGCAAGGAGGAAAGAACTTGCGGAAGGAGAAACCGTACTTGCCCTTCACGAGTTTTCAAAATGGATGTGAAATTTTGTGGTTAATTTTAACTTTATAAATTACATTTTACATTGCTTCATAAAGTGAAGAGAAGATGTGGCTGAACATTCGAGCGAGGCTACGGAATCAAACAAGACTCCAGTAAACATGCTGCCCTAAATTTCAACACCCCTAAATAGCGTGCTCACGTTTTCACACTTGACGACTTTGCACTCAGGCTCCCTCTGGCGGCGGGCGGCTTTCCCGTCGTCCGAGGCTTCGTAGGGCGCAGCACCGTCGGTTTCTGCTTCGTCGTCGGCGGCGGAGGACGTGGCGCCACCTTCTTTCGGCCCTCAGTCAGCGACGTCTTGCGGACGGCGGCGGTAGGAGCCGCCAGCTGCTCCAGGCTGCCGTGCGTCACGCTGCGAGGGGGAGCCACCGTCGCGCTGGCCGCCGACAGCCGGTCCTGAGACAGCGACTGTCGCCGCGGCAACACCGGCGGCTGCTCCTGGCCGTCGAACGACACCCAGCAGTTGTGACGCGCCGCGGGGACGGGTGGCGCCACCTGCTGGGCTGCCGCGTGACCGACAGGCTTCTGGGGTAGTGTCGGTTTCTGGCGCGCGGTGACTGAGGGGGCGCCGGCGTAGGCGGTGGCGGTGACTGAGGGGGCGCCGGCGTAGGCGGTGTGACTCGGCAACGTCGGTAACGGACGAGACGGTCCGCTCGTCACCGGCGCCACGTCAAACGGATCGCGAGATGACGGGAGGGCGCCACTGGGTGGCAGCGGGAGGAGCGGCGGCGGCAGCGTGGGGCCAAACTCGTAGGTCAAGAGGTCGCCGACTGGAAGGTCATCGTCAAGGAGATTGACCGGATGCTTCGTGGCGAGCCCCGAGGGTTTGGGCGCCGGCGCGGGCTTCGGTGGCGGCCCCTGGTGGCTCATGATGTCATCGCTCCTGTAAGTCTGATGCATGCGTAAGTCTTCTAGGATCACTTCTGCGTACGTCGGCGGTTCCTGCAAACAACAGGGTCACAGTGAGACGCTCACACGAACAACAACAACCCAATCAACGTTTAATCAACATCCCAAGTGAAAGTCAGTTTTACAACATTGCCAATAATACGATTACATCACTACTATGATGCTCAGTACAGCAGTTATATATATGATTACATCACTACTATGATGCTCAGTACAGCAGTTATATATATGGTGTGAATACATAGTAGTAACCAACATAGTAGTTTATCCCTAGTAGTTGGTAAATAATAAACACATACCTGCTTTAAGTTTATATCTTATATATATGTTATACACTATACCGATGAAAATAAAGCTTTATCTTATCTTATCTT